AAGATCCTTAATTTTAGACTCAATTCATCCACTTCAGCTTGAGACATTAGTGGATTAATGATTCCACTATCTTGATGGAAGTATTGAATTATCTGAATGCAAGGTTAAATGTGGTCTGTAAAAGTTAATAGGACCAGAAAAAAGAGAACTGGTAAAATAGCCAGTGCTGTAAGGTTCACCGTCAGAGCTGGGAGTGTATTCAGTACATAACTCGGTGCCTGTGTTCTGTTCTCTTGTTTGCCAGAATGTTAAGTTACAAACTCTTCTTTCCCCAGAAGTGACAGCAGGTCACTGCTGTGCCTGTCCCAGAAGTGACAAGTGCCCATATTCTATTTTTAAGTTGTTTTTCGATGTGGAAGTGTATTATGATGCTGAGGGAGTAAAAAAAGGAATCCCAATATTTTAATCTCTTGATTAATGCCCTAGACCTGATTTGGAGGTTTGAGAACTAATTTTTGCCTTTAAAAAATTTCCAGATGCTTTTAGTTCATATAAATAAAACAGTAACATTTAAAAAAAATAAGAAGTGAGCCCATGACCCTAAATAATCAGTCTATCATTTTTCATTATCATTTATTTATAATAATGCTCAATTATTGTTGATGTATGAGCATTGACTGTACCAGTTTTACCCATCAGGGAAATAGGTCAAAATTCCTTTTCAGAGTCACAACCTGGGTAATATTTCATGAAAAACTGTGGATAACTAAGTATAAGCCTATGACCATTAGTGATACCTACTTACCGGCCTTTGTACAATTAAATCTGTGAAGTCCTGCATTGAATTCAAGGCTAAGTTCTGCAGCTGTATAGTCATCAAAGTCGCAGCACAGTTGAAGAAACTTTCCAATTTTGCACTACTACCACTAGTGGGTAACTGCTTTTTTTTATTGCCTTGGTAATAAATATTTTGGACTTCTGGAAACCATCTTGAAAAAACAAAGAAATCTCTTAAAATGTCCAATATTTTCAATATCCCATCATGTAAGCTACCTATCAATCATACTTTCTGGACAACTAGAAGATTTCACAGTAACACTATTAAGGAACTTTCACCTCTCATGAACTAGTAAGCACTGCAAAATGTATGTAGTAGCATGTTTTATTACTAGTATGAAAAGGAATGTTATATTGCCAGTAGAATTTCAATTCAACAATATATGTTCTTAAATACTTGTGTAAGGCTCTATTCTGAGTTCTGAGGATGTTATTATCTGCATAGCTAAAAATGGTAGTTGAAATCATTGAGAGCAAATGATACAACACAACGTTAGGTATCAAGTCCAAAGGTTTGATGAAATGAATTACTAGGATATGACAATCTAGAGCATCCAAAAGAGACAGTCACTAAACATATATTAAGTATCAACCACTCTGTGCCCAGCACTGTGCTAAGAACACTAGGGATACATAAAGAGGCAAAAGACAGTCCCTGCCTTCACCATAGGACTGATAAAAGAGGGGCAATCCCAATATGGATCACAACCTGAAGCTAAAGTCAAAGTTGGCAATTAGTAATATATTGCAGTTTATGGTTTCACAAACTACAGATTAAAGAGAATCAAAATGTAGATGCTTCTTCAATTTGGCATAAAATGATTAAGAACTTGATAAAGTGAATGCCAAAGGCTGGTGGTTTCCGGACCTAATAAAATAAGAGAGATGGGACATAAGCAGGAGACCACCAGGATTGGTTTCTTGATATTTATATGTATTAAGATGATTTAGTACAATAAGAACAGTGGAGGAGAAAGCTAGTCTTGGAATCAAGAAGACCTGGGTTCAAGTTTTGCATTTAACACACATATTGGCTCTTTGACCCTGGGCAAATTGCTTAAATTCACTGAGTCCCAGGTATCTTTCTAATACTAGAAATTGCAGAGAAGTTGACAACCTGCAGTGGTAAGAGTTACCAGGTAATCAAATAAACTCTATTCATATGAATGTTCTATGACTTTCTTTAATATGTAAATGGAAATCATGGTATCAAAAAATACACTCAATCTTAACTGTAGCACTCTCTGTTTGAATGGATTCAATAAACAGAAGACGAGTCATGAAACTCATTCAAAAGAGTTAAATTACTGAAGTGCCAAAAGAACCTCATTATGAGTCTCATGATATGGATCCTAAGAACAAGCATTAATCGTGAAGAAATAATACATACTATGTATAAAATAGAAATTCTATACTATAACCTATCTACATTTTTGTTTAACTACCAATAGAAATGTAAAAAAAGTAAATTTGATTTTTGTATTTTAACTGGATTTATTATTTCGAGTCAATTTTATTGCCTTTGACCAAAGACTATTGTAAGATGCTGTGTTGTTCATTTTATTCCCTTGCTAATTGGTCTTAATTATTTGCTAGTTGATTGAATATTATCAAGAGTTTTTTCAAAAAATCTTGTGAAAATAATTTTTAAAAGACAAAAATCACCAGAAAATTTTGAAAACTATGAAAGTAATTATTTTAAATTGCCTCAGGTGCCCAAGGAGATAAGAGAATACACTATATAATTGACTCTACAACATTGGGTAAAATATAACTTCAAGTTAAGCTTCAAACATACACTACAAACTCACACCACAGAACCATAACTAACTACTGACTTTTCTGCTAAAAGCATTGAGGGGAAGGCAGATACAAAAAAGACATTTTGTTGATAAGGTAAAGGGAAAGCGAATACATGATTGAATTTATTGAAACTACAATTCTGCAAATGTCACTCTTGAACAGTTTGCTGTTGTTCATTGACTATTTGTTAGTACGCCTACCTGCTGTACTCCAGCTGGGGGGGAAAATCCACCAGTAATAATGAGATAAGCAGCAGCATGATGTGTGGAAAGTGCTTTGAAACTAAAACTAAAGGGAATTCTGGGAAGATGGTGGACTAGGTCAGAAAATTCCAGGCTCTCCAAATTTCCTCCACAAACAGACCGAACATTGCCACAAAATGAAGGCAGAGTAGCAAAAATAAAGAGGTAAAGCAGTTGTCCTCCTAAGACAACTTGAGAGGACCTCAGCAAAGACAGGACCTTCAGGAGCTGAGGCTTGGCCAGAGTAAAGTGTAAACACCTCCAGGCCTCTCCAGTGAATCAACAAACAGAAGGACCTGGGGGCAGCTTCACTAGGAAGCAGACTAGGCCTCGAGAACTTTCACCTCATGAACTTTCATTTAAAGAACAGTGTGAGAATCAGAAGGCTGAGTGGGGAAAGACTAAAGGACCCCCTGCTGTTTCTGGACACCAGGACTAGTGAAAAACTGAAAGACTTTCAGGTATATGTGACAAAAAGACCAGAACTGAATAGAAAATTTGATGCAAAAGATCCAGAAGAAATATAAGGAAAACATTAAAGATAATTATAGAGAATTCATTAAGGGTCAAACTGTTTACTTCTTACATGTAGAAATGTTATCAGTATTCTTAAGAGTGACGTTGTTACCAAGGTAGTTTGAAAGAAAGGTTAGGGCTGAATTGTGTATGATGGGGTGATTCTTTAGAATGTTTTTTAAAACATAATTGAGTAGAAAAAGGTAAAAAAGGAACAATTATCTCACAAAAATGGGGCATGAAAGGAAGAAGTGACAGAGGAAGCAGAAAGGGTAATAGTATTGGAATCTTACTCTCTCATCAGATCTGGGTAAAAGAGGGAACAACACATGCATCTAAAAGGGTATAAAAAAGTTTTTTAAACTTCTAAAGAAATAAGAGGATTAGGAGACAGGATAAGGGTGAGTAGGTTAAAGAACAAATCATAGAAACCATCAATAATTTCATTAAGGAGAATGACAATAATGACACAAGATATCAAAACCTATGGGATATAGCCAAAGCAGTAGTCAGAGGAAGATTTATCTCACTACATCAATAAAACAGAGAAAGAGCTCCTCTAATATGGGGTGACCTACCCAGCAGCAAGCTTGTAATATTGTCCCAGTGTCTGTTTCCTCTACCCGGTAAAAGCATGGCATCCACGATCTTTCTGTCACTGCTCAACTGTGAGCACACTACTTTCTCGCTGCTTGTTTGCAATGTGGTTTAGGAAACTTACTTCAGGCATTAAAAATTCTTACTTTTGATTCTAAATAAAGCAAACTCCCCACAGACATCCACATTAACAAAATGCTGCAAAGATCAGACCATTTTCTTCTTAGAGCCATGCTATCTCTCATATCCTGAGCAGAACTGAACTGAATTTTAAAAACAAGATATGTTCTGAACTATCATCTGACTAAAAATACAGGAGCCTTCTGGAACTTTTTTTTTCTTTTAAATAGAACTAACAAACATAAGTGATTCTTTGTCCAATATGAAATGAGTTTACGTATTCAATCATACACTTTAAGTAGTGTCTCTTTGGCAGATTCCATGTGTTTCATGACAATGTTCTGGAAGAGTGACAGCTCCATTGCCTCCTGGCGATTATGAAATTCTTCTATATCAATTAAACGTAATTTTCTGCAAGGAATAAAAATGGATACTAATGAGTAGTCATAGCCATAACTCTGTCTTATATTTGTTGATTATTCTGCTTTGCTAACATAACATTCTTAGGGGGTATATTCTCAAGTTTAACCAATAAAATTATATTCTTAATCATGTCTTTTTATCACTATTTGTATAAAGTGCAAGAGTTGTTCATCACTCTACCAGGATTTAGAGAGTCCAAGATTGTAACAGGTAGGATACATGGGTGAAATTTTCTCACAGGTTTTCAATCCTCTTCTAATAAGAAGACAAAGAGAATACAAAAGTTCCACTGGTGCCAACCAAAGACTGGAACCTCATCTCAAGAAAGGAGGGTTACATTATCAAATCAGCCACCAGTGCCTCCTTAGAAGACATGGAAAAAGGCCTTAATTAAAACAGAGGACCCACCTATACTGAAGTTTAGACTCTCCCAGAGGATACCTAAATTTTATGTCTCTGTCCCATGGCTACACACCACCAGAGGGAGGAGGATTAAAGGTCACTGCCCCAGACTTATTGCTAAAGTTCTGCATATTAATATTTATATTTGTAGCTCTTTCTGTGGTGGCCAAGAATTGGAAATTGAGGGGATGCCCATCAATTGGGGAATGGCTGAACAAGTTGTGGTATATGAATGTAATGGAATACTATTGTTCCATAAGAAATGATGAGCAGGCAGACTTCAGAAAAACCTGGGAAGACTTGTATAGACTAATGCTGAGTGAAGTGAGCAGAACCAGGAGAACATTGTACACAGTAACAGCAACATTGTACGATGACTAACTTTGATAGACTTAGCTCTTTTTAGCAAGGTGAAGATCTAAGACAACTCCAAAAGACTTGTGATGGAAAATGCTATCCACATCCAGAAAAAGAACTATGGAGTCTGAATGCAGACCAAAGTATACTATTTGCTTTCTCTCTCTCTCTCTCTCCTTTTCTTGTTTGTTTCTACTTTCTCATTCTAATTCTTCTTTACAACATGACTAATGTGAAAGTATGTTTAATATGAATGTATATGTAGAGTCTATATCAGATTACACGCCCTCTTGGGGGAAGGGGAAGGGAGGGAGGAGGAGAAAATTTGGAGCTCAAAATCTCATGGAAGTGAATGCTGAAAACTAAAAATAAATAAACTAATACTTTAAAAAATTTTAAATGCTTAACAAAAAAATAAAGTTCTATACTCCTACATTCCCACAATATCTTCATGTCAATTCAATTGAATTGGACAAAAATATATTAAGCACTTGCTATGCGCAAGGCATTACGCCAGGCAGACTCTGGACATTAAAAAAGAAAAGGAAAAAAGGATGATGGACTGGAGAGATGAAAGACTCAGCGACCAATGGTAAGGCTACAATAATTTAGACAACAGGTGAGAGGAGCTTGAACTCAAGTAAATGCTGTAAGTGCAGAAAAGTGAAAGATGGGGGCAGCTAGGTGTCACAGTGGATAGAGCACCAGCCCTGAAGTCAGAAGGACCTGAGTTCAAATCTGGCCTCAGACCAAACACTTGACACTTACTAGCTGTGTGACCCTGGGCAAGTCACTTAGCCCCAATTGCCTTAAAAAAAAGATAAAAAAAAAGAAAAGTGAAAGATGCAATGAAGGTACAATTGACAAGACTTGCCAACAAGTCTTGGAGATGGAGGAGAGGGAAAAGTCAAAGAGGACCCCAATGTTGGAAGCCTGGATGACTGAAAGAAATTCACTCACCACTGATGGGTGGTCTATTCAACAGAAATAGAGAAATTTAAGATGGGTTTAATAAAAACAATCATTTGCTATCCAAGTGAATTCATTCAAATGAATATTTTACATAGATAAGATGAGAGATAAATGAGAGACAGAGCATTTATTAAGAGCTTATTATGGAGAGGCAGAGCTAAGATGATGGAATATAGACAGCAACCCAGCTGAACCCTCCTAGTATTCCCCTATAAACAACTTTGAATAGTTCCTCAAATCAAATCTAGGAATGGCAGAGCAACAAAAAGTCAGAGTGAGACATTTTTCCAACCAAAAACAACTTAGGAGGTCCCCAGGAGGGGTCTGTGACACGAGGGTAGGGGCTTGCCCCAAGCACAGAAGCAGCACCAATGGTGGACCTTGGAGGCAAGTGCAACATCAGCAGCAGCAGCAGCTTTGAGAGCTCTCAGCCCACAGACTGTAAAAGAAGTTGGAAAATTAGTAACAAGAGTTTACAGGAGACCCTTTGCTGGCATTAGATGTAGCCGGTGCTGATTGGCAACTCTAGTGCCTATAAGCCGTTCTGATTTATAATTCCAGGGTGAAGAGGAATATTAGTGCTTGTGGCTACAGGGGCCAGGGGCCTCTACTAGATAAAAACCAGAATGCACAGTGATCATACTGCCTTGGAAGCACCAAAAGCTTGCAGAATCCTAGAACTAGCTCTGAAAACAGAAACAGAAAAAGCCTAAAGCTTGAAACAGTGCCTCCCCATCCTTAGGTGAACAGAGTCCACCTTTTTTTTTATATTAATTAATTAATTTAGTTTTCAACATTCATTTCTATAAGATTTTGAGTTCCAAATTTTCTCCCTCTCCCTCCTCTCCCTCTACCCCAAGATGGCATGCAATCTCATACAGGCTTTACATATACATTCATATTAAAAATAAATTCACATTAATCCCATTGTAAAGAAGAATCAGAACCAATGGGAGGAACCATGAGAAAGTAGAAACAAAAAAATGAGAGAGAGGGAGAGAAAGCAAATAGTATGCTTTGATCTGCATTCAGACTCTATAGTTCTTTCTCTGGATGTGGACAGCATTTTCCATCATGAGTCTTTTGGAGTTGTCTTAGATCCCTGCGTTGCTAAGAAGAGCTAAGTCTATCAAAGTCAGTTACTGTTACTATGTACAATGTTCTCTTGGTTCTGCTCATTTCACTCAGCATTAGTTCATGCAAATCTTTCCAGGTTTTTCTGAAGTCTGCCTGTTCATCATTCCATC